TGACGTCAGCAGTCACTCAGTCACTCCATAAGTATTTATTAAATGCTTATTTACTCTGCTCCCAGCACTCTGCTAAGTGCTAGCGATACAAAGAAAGACAAAAATGTGGCCTCTGGCCTCAAACAGCTCACATTCTAATAGAGAAGACAATGATAACTTATCCCATTTAATCGTCACATCCCTGTGAGGAGAGCTAATATTATCTCCATTTTTGCTGCTGTTCAGTCATTTTTCAGTCATTTCAGACTCTTTGTGACCTTATTTGGAGTTTTCTTGGCAAAGTTACTTGGCAAAGTTCGCCATTTGCTTCTCCAGCTCATTTTACAGAGGAGGAAACTGAGACAAACGGGGTAAGTGACTTGCCCAAGGTCACACAGTAAGTCTCTGAGGCTAGATTTGAACTCAAGAGTCTTCCTGACTCCAGGCCAGGCACTCTATCCACTGTGCCACATAGCTGCTCATCTCCATTTTACAGAGGAGGAAACTGAGGCTGAGAGAAGTTAAAGGACTTCAATCCTCACAACAACTCTATAAGGTAAGTGTTACAGGTGAGAAAACTGAAGCTGAGAGAAGTGAAATTACTTGTCTAGGGTCACACTGCCAGTGTTTGAGGCAGAATTTGAACTAAGGACTTCTTGACTCCAAGTTCCCACTCTATTCACTAGACCATCTAGTTGTTTCTTACTTAGAAAAGTCATCTTAGGGGCAGCTAGATGGTGCAGTGGATGGAGCACTGACCCTGGAGTCAGGAGGACCTGAGTTCAGATGTGACCTCAGACACTAGCTGCGTGACCCAGGGCTAGTCACTTAACCCTGATTGCCTTCCCCTTCCCCCACCAAAAAAAAAAAAAGCCATATTTCTTAACCACTCAGGTTGAAGAGGTAGTATAAAACAGGAAAGGGATAGAAAGTAGGAAAGGGATGGAAGATAGGGGCATTATTTCTCTACCACCACCACCATGATGCAAATGAGATGACTGAATCACAAGGAGGCGAAAGAAATGATGTCTAAGTCATTCAACAAGATAAATGGGAAAAGCTCACCCCTAAAGTCACACATGCCTGCTGGACTGGATATAGACCTACATATGACAAAGATAAATGAAAACACCCTACTACATGTTCTAAAGAAAGAACTCTTAGCTGGGAGTCTGAAGACCTTAATTCAAACTCAATTCCAATGACTCAATTACCAGGTGACTGTGAATAAATCACTGGACCTCCCCATCAAATTTCTCATCTGTAAATAGGATTAATGAGGCGAGAAGCATCCTGGTTCAATCATATCCTACTCTTCATGACCCCATGGACCATACTGCCTGTGGGATTTTCTTGGCAAAGATACCACAGTGGTTTGCCATTTGCTTTTCCAGATCATTTTACAGATGAGGAAACTGAGGCAAAGAGGGTTAAGTGACTCAGCCAGAGTCACTCAGCCAGTAAGTGTCCAAGACCAGATTTGAACTCAGGTCTTCCCGAATCCAGGCCCAGCAGCTACACACTGTATCACCTAGCTGCCCCCAAATGATTGATTTAGGTTCACATAATAACCAAGTGGCAGATCTTGAGCTTGAAATAAGGTCTTCTGACTCTCAACCAAGAGTTTTCTTTAGAACAGGAAACAGCCGGAGTCATCCCTTATTTTTGCCTTATGACTAGCCTGTTCCTTTTCCCAATGTATGTATTTTTACTTCTTTTCTTTGAAGTTCCCATTGGTTGTAGCTGTAGCCTGCTCCTACCCACCATGTACCCTTTCGTTACTTTCTGAGTGATATTCATTTTTAAATCTTTGGAGACTTTTGTGTGTCTTACTGCCACAGAGCAAGACCAGTAGAATGGTGGTATTAAAGAGATGGGCCTTTGTTTCCACCGTATCATTAAAGGAACTTCGCAATTTCCCAAAGGCAATGTAGCGTGTGCTCTCCTCCTAGGCAGGGGGCAAATTTACAGTCTTTCAACCAGTCCATGGGATGGCATGGCAAGGAGAGCAGAAAGGCTGAAGGGTCATTTGGTGTACATTCAAACATTCCACCCACAATATACAAACACTAGAGATTGCTCTCCCCTAATCTTGTCTGGTTTATACACTTTCCTCTATCCAAAGCATTCTGTTCCTGAGGGGAGGGGAAGGGGTCATTCAAGGAGACAAATGGGAAAAAACCCACACCTGACGTTGTACAAGCCTACTGGACTGGACATCCATAGGCACAGAAATGGCAATGATAAATGAAGTATGCATCCCTGCTTGTGCATTCTGTGGGACTCTTGCCCATGCTCAGGGAATGCCCTCCTGCTTAGGGAATTACCTGGACACAATTCTGGATTTCTACTTCCTGTCTCTCTAGACAATATATTCTCCCTCCCTACCCCCCCCATGCCCCACCAATATTTCCCACTGATACATTTTACTCCCCATTAAGCCTGGCTTTCTCTGTCCTTCCCCTCCCTTTTCCCTCTGTCTCTTTCTCCATCTCCTCGCCTTGCTCAACGACAGTCATTTTTTTATTTTTTTATTTTTTGCTAAACCACAGAATTTACCATTCTCCCATTTCCACTTTCCAAGGGAATTTCTTGGCTGGTCTCCTGATTGACTCCTCCACACAAACAAACTCATCTCCTCTTTTTCCACTCACAGAATACCAGCACTCAACATTCCCTAGCCACAAGCACGGAATTTGCCAGGCTTTCCCCAGTCTCCTTCATTGGTATCTCTGAAAAATAGTTTCTTTATCTAAGGACCACATCCCTCATGTCCTTATCAGGAACTCCCCCATGAAGAGATTATGCCCACCCAGAACAGTAGGAGTGGTGGGAGCAAGAAGGGAATGGTCCTGCAAAAAAATATGCTCTTTTCCTGCATCTGTTTTGTCCTTAGGAATAGGGACTGGACTTGGGATTTCAAGGATACACGGAAGCCAAGGTTCAAAGAACTCCCTCTACCAGTGCAGGTCCTGCTTTCTCTACACCCTCCTATCTTAGAAAACTTCACAAAGCACTGAGAGGTTAAGAGATTTGTCTGATGTCACACAGCCAGAGTGGGTCTTGAACTCAGAATTTCCTGGCTTTGAGACCAGTTCTCTATTTACTGTATGTCTCTCCTTTGGGTCCTTAACTGTTCCTATTTTTTCCTAATTTTGGACAGAGGGGAAGGGAACAGACTTTGGCTGTCCCTTTCAGCCATGAAGGAGTGATCCTAGATTTCTATTATTGTTGTTTATAAAACAGAAAACCTCTCCTTCTACAATTACTGTCCAGGTTGAAATCTCCTCCCCTTCCCTGTCTCTTCTTTCTCATCCCATCGTGGGAGGCACTTGCAAAACAGACTGTGAAATCCTCAAAAGAAAACCCAAGAAAAGTTGAAGGCCAGAGAGGAGGAGGGAGATTGAAATGGGAAATGGGAGAGTCACATGAAACACAGGGGAACGGAAGGGAATGGTGGGGAGGGCTGGGTTGGGCAGGGCAGGGCAGGGCAGGGATGCTGAGAAGAGCATTGCTCCCACCAGGGAAAGTTTCATTGGCTCATCTAAGACAATGCAGCCCAGATGAGCTATATCTCAGAGCAGGACTCGTGCAGAGAAACACCGAAGCCAAACCAGCAGACAAAGCCAAGTACTGCTGACCCAGCTGTCCTCTCGCTCTGGGATAAATACAATGGTACTCTTTCTTCTGGCTCCCCGGTCAGACCTAATAAGATTTCCTTTTTTGGAAACTCTCCGAAGAGATCAGTCCCCACTTGGCCATCAGGAAGTACCTTGGGGTGAAGAAGAGAAAAGGGGGTGATAAGTCTAGTTTGAGTGGTTAGAAAGTCTTGTCCTGAGGATGTAACTAGAATGGGGGCAGCTCCAGTTCTTGGAGAGAAGGCAGAAAGCTCAGGGTCCTTCTGCGGATAGGTTCAAAAGAGTATAGGCTGGAAGAAACTTCAGAGAGCCGTTAGTCCTGGCCTTCATTTTGGAGATGAAGATAATGACAAGAAAAGACTTACCCCACGTCACACAAGAGTGAGTACCAAAATCAATCAGTAAACTTTTCAATCATTAAAGATTCATTAAGCACCTACTATGTGCCAGGCATTGTATGAGGTGCTGGAATCAGGATTTGAACCTGAGTCTTCTGATGCCAGACCCAGTTTACTTTCTGCTACACGTACTTCACCATCGAAGAAAATGTGTCAGAATATCATCAACCCTACATCATGGGCCTTCTGCATTGCTGGGTGTTCTGGAATCATTAATTAGCCTCTTCTTACTACCACAAGTCTCTGTGCCCCAGCCATAAAGAAACACTCATACCCTCAGATATATTCCTATTCTGGGCACACCACAGACCAGGGATGGGGAAGCTGTGGCCCCGAGGCCACATGTGGCCCCAGAATGATTTGTTCTGTAAAGTTTGGATTCAGTCAAAGGGCCGTCGTTGAGGACCTAGAGGGCCACAGGTGGCCTCAAAGCCACAGCTTCCCCACCCCTGCCACAGACATAGCTAATCCTCTCACCATTCCAGACAACAGGGTCAGAAGCTTTGACCCACAACTTCTCTCGGACTAAACATCTTCCCAACACTCGTGGTAGATTTCTTCCTTTGTCTGCATTCTTCATTCTTGAGATTTCTATAGGCAAGCAGCTCCACCTCCAAATGCTACCCTATACCCTTCTCCTCCTTAGGAGATCCCGGGACATCCCTTTTTTTTTTTTGCTCCATATTTCCTCTCCCAAAAGAAAGTCACCAAAGAGAGAAAGGACCACTGCCCATTTGCAGTCAATGCCAGGGAACCCAGGTGGTGTGAAGTGTGGAGTCTAGAGTCTGATTCCTAGGTTCTGTCATGGTTCTGCCCGAAGTTAGCTATATAAGACTGAGAAGGTCCATTCCCTAATTAGAGCCTCCATTTTCTTCCATGAGAAGAATTCTCCCTAGAATTCTGTAAAACAGGGAGCTGAGCTCCAACACAGCTCCTGGAACAAGAATTAGGGAAGCAGGTGCGTGGGGGCATGTCTGCTCCTTACCTCGTCTGAGCACCAGGCACAGAGAGGGCTCACTGCAAGGCACTGCTGGCAGGAACTCACCCCCCGGTTGGTACAGACATTGGCCCCTGGAAAAAAAAGATATAAAGGGATTAGAGACTGGCTGGGGCCTCATGTATAATTACGAACCGTTTCATTCTGTTTGAGTTTTCAGAGATGTAGACCATTCTCCCCTTCCCTGCTCATGCACACGCACGCGCACACACACACACATACACACATCTCTTGCTCTGTCTTCCTCTACGTAAGTACTTCCATACGTAACCCAAAATTCACTAAATAAACATGACTAGACTTTCAGTCAGTCAAGCATTTATCAAGCACCCACTGTATACAATGGTGGCTTAGTGGATAGAGCGCCAGGAAGCTTCTTCTTCCTGAGTTCAAATCTGACCTCAGACACTTGCTAGCTGTGTGACACTAGGCAAGTCACTTAAGCCTCAGTTTCCTTATCTATAAAATGAGCTGGAGATGGAAATGGCAAACCACTCCAGTGTCTTTGCCAAGAAAACCCCAAATGGATTCACAAAGAGTCAGGACTGAAAATAACTGAATAATGACAAAACAACACTGTATACAACAAAGACCTGTAATAAGCAGATTAGAGGGAGGTGATGAATGAACAGAAATACAAAAAAGAGAGGAAATAGTGCCCCTTCAAGGTTCATAGAACTTAGAGCTAAACCCTATAAGCCTATCTGACCCAATCCTCTCATTTTACAGATGAAGAAACTGAGGTCTAGAGAGGTGAATTGATTTGCAGTATGGTAGAAAAAACCTTAGATTCAGAGTCAGAACACCTAGGTGGAAGTCTTGGCTCTACATATCATTTACTCGTTATATGATCTCGAGAAAGCCACTGTTATCTCTTTGGGTCTCAGTTTCTATTATAAAAATGGGGATAATGCCTGTCTCAAAGGGTCAGCACAGCACAGTGTATCGAGGAGGTCACCTTTGAAGTCAACAAGACCTGGGCTCAAGAACTGCTTCGGTGGCTTTGTGACCGAAAAAGAGACCTAATGCCTCTGTCCCAGGCAGACTCTAAGTTGCAGACAAGCAGCTGGCAGAGGGGATGTCCAGATTAGAATTCCTAATGGAGACAAAATCAAAATTCCAAGCGAGAAAAAAATAAAAAATAAAAACAAACCCATCCTGCCTACCGCACGGGACTGTTATGGGGACCAAATAAGATAATGTCGCAAAGCACTTTTTAAATGAAAAGTCAAAAGTTGAAATCTGTTGTGCACAACTAGTTCACTTGGCTATAGAGCCTACCTAGGGCCTAGGATTTCCCAATCACCTGATGAATCAAGACCAGCTTGATTTTCTATCTCGAATGCACATTGATGAGGCAGGAGGCAGGATGGAAGCAACTCCGTTTATTTTTAGCAAAGCACTTACTTATATAGTAAAATAACAGCAACTCTTTCTCAAGTTACAATGACATATAGCCCATGCTGTGCTCAAGGACAGTGCATGCACTTCCTGTCCACTTATCTGACTCCAATCCCAGAATAGACTGATAATGACCATATAATAACTAGGGGAGTTAAAGATTGTTAAAGATCCATACAATGGAGCACCGAATCAGGCGACCTTTGCTCAGAGATCAGCACCCGAGAGGGGCCTCCGCCCATCAGCGAGACCTCATGAACAGCCTGTGGCCCTCTACATCCTTACAGATCCCCAACAGAAATCCTTATTTTTACTGTTAACTCCTCTACATTCCAGCTGGCAACACACCCAGTGTAGCTGCACCCTTTGCACCTGCCTAGTTCTACTAAGGCCTAAAACCTGCTCTTTCCAACAGGCCCTAAAGTCTATGGCTGAGGAGAGTAGCAGTCCAAGCAGTGCTGGGAAGAAGTGAGACCTCCTGGAACCCTCTCAAGCATCCTCCCCTTTTCCTTTTCCAAAGGGCAAAGGAAGAAGGAATAAATTGTAGAATTTGGCTTAACCATTCCAAGGTTAGGTGCCACAGTAATGCTCTCCAGAAAGCAGAGAAACAGTGATGACAGGGGGAAGGAGTGGGACAGCCAAATTAGGCCCAGAAGTACTAAGCTGGAGGTCAAAGGGACTGAGAGTTGGCTTATTCAGGAAAATCCTTCTTCCTCAACTTAGATCTGCTCCCCTGGCTGATCCCTCCCACTTCCAAATTCTCATAGTGCTGTGCTTGGATCTCTCCCCTGCACTCATCTCAATCTCCCTCAAACCAAAGTTATTTATGTACTTGGTCTTCCCTTGCCATCTCCAATATAGATTGTAAGCTCCTTGGGAGCAGGACCTGTGTTACATCTAGCTTTGTATATGGAGTGACTAGCACTGTACTGTGCCTTGTACTAAGTAGACCCTTAACTCAATCAAACCAGCTTCTTCCAAGCAAATCTCCTTTTTCCTTTTTAAGGGAGATTAGCTTTTTCTCCATGTCCCAATGAAGAACTCTTCTGAGCAATGAAGACAAAAATTATCAGGGTCAACCACTTTTCAGAGCCAAGTTTCTGACTGGTTATTTAAGTAAGGAGCTCCTTGGCCTCCCATTTCGGAGGAATTTTCCTGGATGTCAACGTGTTTTCCCAGTGTCTCCTATAGTCCTTGGGTTGAAAAGATAGAGTCTCTCTGTCCATTTTACTAGAAAATTATGAAATCCTTCTTCCTACACATGAGCACAGTTCAGGACATTAGCAAAGAGGTAGAACAGAAAGCTTACCAAGGAGAACTGAATACCACTAACTAGAACAAGTCACTTCTGCTATCCAGGCCTTACTTTCCTCACCTGTAAGATGAAGAGTTTGCCACAGATTATACCGTGATCATGTGGTCTCTTCCAGCTGTAATATTCTGTAACTCTAGGATTTGACACCCCATTGCCAGTCTCTGGAGTCCAGCTCCCTATCTCTGACCTCCAACATCAAAGTCTATGATTTTCTATCTCGTAAATGAAATTGCAGCTTATAAAGTTGGTGTCAAACTTCTCCAAGAAAAGCATATGGCACCATATATGTATTAATATTTCTATATGTAGTACTCCCTGTGGACCACCACTCCAACATGGCACTCAATCCAGCATGTTGGGTGGCCTAATGGGCAGTTGCTAACTCAGGTTCTAAGGGCTATAGTCTGTGTATACTGCTATAGCTCATTAGCCCTCACTGTCTATCTTCCCCCTCAACAGTCATACAGGAGATGCAACTAGATCAAAGCAAAGGCATTTATTAAGATGGCATAGTCAGAATAGTAGCTACAAAACATCCCTTCCCCCCTCAATAAACCTGGGGCACAATCTTCCACAAATACACATGAAAAAAGTGGTTACAGAGTATAATGGTAGTGAGGCACATATGTAAAGAATACAGGTGGCCAAGGTAACTCAAGTTTCTACTACTATAGGGCCTCAATGTTCTTTCTCCCCTTACGGAATCTTCATGAAGCTCCCCCCTGGGTAACTGCCTTTCTGGTCTTGCCACTGAACTCTAATGACTCTGGAGGAAAGTTGGGCCGTCTTTTGTCTCAATTCTTACCTAGCCTCTGGTAATTGAATGGGTGTTGCCTCAGACAAACTAACACCTGCGAAAGACTTTAACGTAGAAAGTCCAAGGTCACCCACTGCATCCTGGCCATTGCCGGTTGTCTTGACCTTTGTCTTGCCGCCAGACTCTGGAGGAGAGAGCAAGGCTGACAACTTTGTGCAGCTCTGCCTCACTCTAGTTCAAGTGCAAGTCAAGACATCACCTTCGTGATGTCACTGGATCTCTTCAGGAAGGCCAACAACAATAGCCCTTCTGCTAGGCAGATTACTCAGGTGGGTTCCCAGGGTCTGATCCTCTCTACAACTCACTTCTCAACTGCCAGGGCTAGTTCTCTCTTGAATCCATAGTTAGTTCTCTGCTGCCAGACTTCATATCATAAAAGCTGTTTCCTGTATCTAGTCACTCATTGACTCACTGTATCTAGGCCTGGAGAGTGTGTACTTCTGCTCCATCAAATGTAGCTCAAACTTTCTCAAACTGTTTGACTCGTTTTTTATGGGCCATCAGTCACATGGCAAATTTTGACCCGGCCAATGACATTGTCCCTCCTGATTAAAAAAACAAACAACTTTTCAGTCTTTGTAAAGGGATGAAAGGTGTAGAGGCAAGAGTGTGATGAAGCTGCTGGAGCCGATTCTTAAGCATTTATACTCTGGAAATTAGCAAACTTCAAATCATTGATCTATTATTTTAATTGCCTGGACTTAAGAAAATGATGGATAAAATGTTAGTAATGCAGATTAAACTTAAGAGACCTTGATCAACAAAAAACCCCTGAGAAGTAGGTGCTATTATTATCCCTATTTTACAGTTGAAGAAACTGAGGCAGACAGAGGTTCAGTGAATTGTCCAAGTATCTGATGCTGGTTTTGAACTCAGATCTTTCTGACTACAGGACAAGTACTCTATTATACAACCTAGCTGCCTAGGGCACAGTTCTTAAACAATCCAGAACTAAACATTCTTACACAAAGATCCAGATCTACCATAGCTAGCAGGTCCAGAGCCTACGTTTACCTTCAAATACGTAATTATACATAATAGCATCAGAAACCATAAACATAAGGGTGCACGTCCATACAGGACAAGGAGTCTGAAACCAGGCTTGTCTAGCCAACAGCGTCTGGTCAACTGACTTTGACTCATGTGGTCACTTTCCCCACCCTCCTCCCACTCTACCTTTAGCCAGCTGTGGAAATAAACACCTCCACCCACCCCCTGTCCCCAAGCACAGGACACAGAAAGACTGGCTTGGGCTAAACCTAGCTGAGGCCCCTGCCTCCTTTCCTACTCTCTTGATGGAAGTTTTTAATGGGAACCTGTGTCTAGAAATACACCAAGAGGATGTGGCAATAATTAGGAGGGGACTGGGGCACAATGGGTGAGGCCAAAATTCCTACTGAAAGCATCTATTGCCAAGTTCCTATTCTGTAGCTTGGACTGACCAGTTTCAAGATAAACATGAGCAACCATTTTCCCCAGTCTTTTGGGCTTACTGATTTCAGGCAGATTTCTTGAACCTGGCTTAGTCTGATAGAACTCAG